TATATATATATATATATATATATATTGGCACAAACAAACTCTTGACTTATATACATAAAAAACTTGTAAACAAAACAACAGATACCTAGCTAGCTAGCTAGCTAGCTACCTAGCTAGTCCGTCAGATAGCTAGCTAGTTAGCTAGCTAGCTAACTAACTAACTAGCTAACTGGTCCTTAGACAAATATGTAGCACCTTGGCTACCTGACTACCTTGCCCTTGCATGCATTATCTGCAGGGCTGCTGATGAGCAGCGCAGCAGCTAGCTGCTGGCTAGCTGCTGCTGCTATCTGCTGCAGCAGCTACCTAGTGACTAGCCAGTTACCTGGCTAGCTGGCTAGCTAGCTAGCTAGCTAGCTGGTCTGTGGAGGCAACTGTAGAATTTCTTCTTTTCCCCCAAATAGCGATTAACTCCTCCATTCCTCCATTGCATGCATGCTCTGCTGCATGCATTGAATGCGCTGCTGCATGCGCTGGTGCTGCATGCTTTGTGTCTGCATGCATAGCATGCGCTGCTGCTGCTGCTGCATCTATTGCCTTAATTAGTGTATATAATCCCTTAATAAATCCTTCTTCTTTCTTTGTTGGATAAATCGTTGCATGCGCAAAGTCTATCAACTTCACGTATACAACAAATCCATCATCTGGACCCTTTATAGGGGCCCCCATGGGGCCCCCTATGGGGGCCCCCCAAGGGGGCCCCTCACCTCCTACTTCTTGTAACTCGTCAACTAAGGGACCATCAGGGGCCCCTAACAATTTCCCTACAGAGGGGCCCCCAGGGGCCTCTTCTTCTCTTCTTTCTAGTACGTCTTCAAGAGGGGGGCCCCCAGGGGCCCCACACAATCTCCCTATTGACGGGGCCCCAGTGGCCTCCTCAGGGGCCTCTTCAGGGGCCCCTCCAGGGGCCGCCTCGTCTCCTCCTTCATGTACGTCTTCACGAGGGGCCCCTTGCATTGTATTCCTTAGTGCCGCTATATTAGGGGGCCCCCTAGATAGGGTACAGGGGCCCCTGTATAGGGTACTAGGAGGAGGAGAGTTACGTTTATATCCACAGATAATAAGGAGACTACTACAATATAAATTAAATAAATAATTATTATTAAATAAATAAATTAATTTATTAATTAAATAATTTAGGTGTATATACAATTTATATTTATTATTTATATAATTAATAAATAAATAATAAAATAATTCCTTATAAGATATAAATGTATTAGGTCTATAACTGTCTCCTTTTATTCTTGACCCTCCTGACCAATGGACCACTCTCTGCTGCTGCTGTTGCTGCTGCTGTTGCTGCGGCTGCTGCTGCTGCTGCTGCTGCTGTTGCTGCTGCTGTTGCTGCGGCTGCTGCTGCTGCTGCTGCTGTCTCCTTTGTCTAGTAAAGAAGCCAGATAAGGAGACACCTAATGTTGCTGCTCCTCTTATCTTTGCTTCCCTCTCTGCCTTCTCCCTCTTGCTGCTGCTCGCCTTGTCTCCATATAACCGTGTCCCTAAACAGCAGCAGCAGCAGCAGCAGCAGCAGCAACAGCAGCAACAGCAACAAATGCAGCAGCAAGTATAAGAAGAAGGGCACACACATACAATGGGTACTCTATACATGCATGCAAGAAGTGTCTCCTTTATTTATTTATTTATTTATTTATTTAATTATTTTTGTCTCCTTTTTTTTGTCTCCTTACCTATCTTAATATCTATAACTGTCTCTCCTTCTAATTCACCAACAAGATTACTAAGATATATATTTATTCTCTCCTTTTTTGTCTCCTTTTTTGTCTCCTTTCTTGTCTCCTCCTTTATTGTCTCCTTATCTGTCTCCTCCTTTATTGTCTCCTTATCTGTCTCCTTTATTGTCTCCCTACCTGTCTCCTTATCTGTCTCCTCTCTTATTGTCTCCTCTCTTATTGTCTCCTCTCTTATTGTCTCCTCCTTTATTGTCTCCTTATCTGTCTCCTTATCTGTCTCCTTATCTGTCTCTTTATCTGTCTCCTCCCTTATTGTCTCCTCTCTTGTTGTCTCCTTATCTGTCTCCTCTTTTATTGTCTCCTTATCTGTCTCCTTATCTGTCTCCTCTCTTATTGTCTCCCCTCTTATTGTCTCCTCCTTTATTGTCTCCTTATCTGTCTCCTTATCTGTCCCCTCTTTTATTGTCTCCTTATCTGTCTCTTCTTTTATTGTCTCCTCTTTTATTGTCTCCTTATCTGTCTCCTTATCTGTCTCCTTATCTGTCTCCTCTTTTATTGTCTCCTTATCTGTCTCCTTATCTGTCTCCTTATCTGTCTCCTCTCTTGTTGTCTCCTCTCTTGCTGTCTCCTCCCTTATTGTCTCCTTATCTGTCCCCTTATCTGTCTCCTTATCTGTCTCCTTATCTGTCTCCTTTATTGTCTCCTTATCTGTCTCCTTATCTGTCTCCTTATCTGTCTCCTTTATTGTCTCCTTATCTGTCTCCTTTATTGTCTCCTTATCTGTCTCCTTATCTGTCTCCTCTCTTGCT